TGGATAACAGGGCGTATCAGGGGGCGGACCATATGCTCTTGCCTGTGCGCGAGCCATGCCTCGCGACAAGCTCAAAGCTGTCACCATCGTCTGTGGAATCGGCCCACCAGATATTGGCATGAGCGGAGCAGGTTGGTTTCACTGGCTCGGCTTCACGTACGGGTGGCGATATGGCCCTCGCGTTGCGGGCTGGTACTTCTACCGGGAAGGTCAATACAACTTGCCAGACGACAAGCGCTTGGAATTACGTCTACAGGAGGCAGAGAAAAAGAAGTCGACTTATCCGAGACAGGAGTCTGGTCTCTGGTCAGACAGGGAGATTGTGGCACGGATGGTCATGACCGGTCGGCAGTATTATCGTCAAGGAATTGACGGAGTGAGTCATGACGGCTACCTGTGTGGAACAGAGTACGGGTTTAATGTGGAAGATATCCGGACTGACCTGCCTATGCGGCTGTGGTATGGACAGCATGACACGTTTGTTCCCCCGAATCATGGGGTTCAGATCGCAGAGAGGTTAGGGGACCATGCTCACCTCCGACTGGAAGATGATACCCATGCCAGCATATTCTTCCGCTGGCGGAAGGAGGTCTTAGCCGACTTGGTCAAGCACATCTAGGTACGAGGTGGCATTGTATGTAGCATATGTGCCCAATCACCGCTCATAAGTGAAAAGAGAAAATGTCACCATTTCCGCTCAATATAGTTACCATCTCCAACCGACTGGCATCAAGTTTCTCACCTGTAACATTTGTGGCTTGAATAATAACGGGAGTCCTAGCTTGGAGTTTATCTTATGTTCGAAGGACTATACTTCATATCAAGGTGACTTCCGTCCATTCCCCATTGCTCACAGCCTCTCCCTCCATTTTGTCGTCGATGTAGGCGTCGCCTATGAGCCTATAGAGTTCGTGTCCTTTGGAGACCCCGGATTTGATCTCTTGGCGGAGAATATACGGCACTTTACCCCCGGCAAGTACCATAACGATATCATCAGACCGTGCCTCGGCGTGAGCCATCCCTATATCTCCATGATCTGTGCGAATGAACCTACGCCCAGAAAGGTTGGGAGTCAACGCGTCCAAAAAAGGTTCATGTTTCATCTCAGATGGCTGAATGTCCTGTTCGGTGCTTATAGAATTATACCACCTGGAGTATGAGTCGAAGTTGGTTGTCGGATCTGCCAACTTCCAGCCCCGATCTCCTTCAGCATAATCAACAGCTAGATTACCACACAGCGTGCGCCAAAGATTTTGTTCTTCCCCACTTGCCGTTTGGTATGACGCGGGAATATGATCTGGAAGCCCTGCTAACTGACGAGCCTCTCTGACGGTTGGGATTGCCTCAGGTATAGTGTCTAGGCCTGAAAAGGAGCATGGCGTTCCGACTTCGATGATACGACCGATAAGAATACTTTTGACAGTAGCTTGATGCTTGGAGTCATCATAATAAAACTGAAACTCAGTTTCACCTCCTCTGGATGAATTGTAATGCGATAGTGTCAACTGGTGGTCAACACATAAACGATGTGTAAAGTAATTGGCCGGTTGTAGAGTCCAATCTGGGACGAACGACGGGAGATCTAACGTAGTCTTATCTCCAGGGACAAAAAAGCTGAAGATATCGAGTGATCTCGTCTGCAAAATATGCTGCTGTGTAACTTTGACAAAGAGTTGCGCAGAGGTGATGCGATAATCTGGTAGGATTTGGTGTTTGGGACCTCGAAACTCCATCCCAAGCATCCCATAGACTCTATCACGAGAGTTGTTGCAACTCCTCCGCCGTAGGTTGTGAAGTGTCTCAAGAAAGCTCCGCTCCGAATCGAATCTCAGGTCAATTAAGACATCCGTGTGAGTCATAATATCGAGGAACTCTTGCCCGCGCTTCATGATAGACTGTGGTCCACAGCATTGATTTTGGGCGTGCCGTCGCAACGCGAGAAATCCGTTTGACACCAGATCACCAGCTGCTGTTGTTGACCCGTACTGAAAGGAGAGGCTTTTTGCAAGAACAAATTCTTGTACAGTCCACACTCGGAAGAACCATTCTGCTCCGAAGAACCTGATGAGGCTGTTCTGAACTTCGGGTGCAGAGATATTCTGACCATCAACCTGGTATATGTTAGCGAATAAAACCCCTAAATACAGCTGTAGGCCTAGAATATTGTGCTGTTGGGGTGCCATAAGGCTTCTGCTTACGTGTAGATGTGGCTCAAGTGCCGGGTCAATGTGTGCGTCTGGTTGTTGAGCAGCGAGCCCAAGGTACTTGATAGCGATGTCCAACCCATCCCATTCTCTGCCCAGAAATATGACAACATGAGATGCACCTTTGTATATGTCAACCATCATGTTTACTTGGCGAGACTTTTCCATGTCATTGTTCTGGTCAATACACAGGCCATCGATCCAGAGAACGCGATCTGAATCATGCTGTCGCAGGTACGGAAGAAGCTCGAAGAGGTTGCCAGTGATCTGAAAGTCGACGTTGTTGACTTTCATTACTTTTCGGCGATGTTGATTCCCCCATACGTAGGAGACTGCCTCATATCGGGTATTTGTGGTTGGTGAAATTGCAAATAGACTGCATTCGATTGGGTCAGATAGTGTGCTCGCAGGTTTAAATTTGAGCAGGCGAATTTGGCCATCGGCAAGAGGCAGATGGACTTTGCTCTCGCACTGAGAAGTCATTTTAGCTGAACGTCTTTGGTGTAAATGACTTGCTCCTTGCTGGTGCCCCCTTGGCCTTCTTCTTCAAATGAGGGAATTGAAAGAAGCGCGGGAACAAGTCCAGCGCCGAAGGATCAAGTAGAATTCGTCAATTTGTCAAGTCGTTTTCACGAAGTAGAGGAAAGAGAAAAATGCAACAATTTGATTGCTCAGGGGTATGCCTATTTCTTATCGAAGACCGCATATATCCGTAAGCGCCGAAAGCAATTATTGACGACCATTCAGAGCCTCACGCCTCGCTCATCTCGCTTCGTGGTGTTTCAAGGACATTCAACCCCTGGGTTTCAGGAAAATCTTATCTCCTTCCAGCAGCATGTTTGCAAACTGATATCATCACCATGCAAGCAACTAGCTCTCCTCAACGCCTTCAGCACTTGCGTAAAGTCACCGATGCCAAATTAAAGCCGGCACAGGTGGGAGAGCGGAAGAGTATGGCTACACGTTCCTGAGAGTATTATTGGCCAAGACCCAGGATGAAAATCAAATACCAACTAGGGTTCATGTCCTGATATCAGCAGCAGGAAGAGCTTGCTTTATTTTGATGAAATCTGGCCGGTTCGGAGACCATTCGCGGTCGCATATGCGCCTGCAGAGCAGAAAAATATTCTTCGGTAAGCACTGAAGCAGGCGGTAAACGTGGACAAAGGGACTCGTACCCAAACCAATACCAACCAATCTCTATCTCGCATATTTTGTGTTAGCTCACTGGCATGACCCCTCATCACCATCCTAGAAGTTACCCAGCGGGGTCCAACATCGTCGCAGAGTCGTCCATCACCTGTGTCTGCGAAATAATCCCCCCTGTCCATCCACGATTACAACAGCAACAACCATCATGGCGGAAGAAGGTGCTGTTTCCAAGTCCCCCTCGAGATATCCGACGAGATCCGACACCGCTGCTACACCAGCTGCCGGAGATGAACAAGCTACCAACAATCAACCAACGCCAGGCCCCAGTATCGAGGCTGCTGAGCCGGCGGACGACGCGGGCTATTCTACTGACAACAGCTCCACCCAGTCCACCTCATTGTCATCCAGCGTCCGCGACCACAATTTCGAGAATAAACGACGATACCACAAGTTCAAAGAAGGCCGCTACCTGTTCCCCAACGACGATCTCGAGCAGGAGCGCGAGGACATGAAGCATGCTATGATTCTTCACCTATGTGGTGGGACACTTCATAATGCGCCGCTGAAGAATCCCCAGAAGATCCTCGATATCGGGACTGGTACCGGTATTTGGGCTATCGATAGTTCGTGCATTCAATTGTCTTCTGAAGACTTGATGTGAGAGTCTGAACTCGCTGACCGGCACATAGTGGGCGACGAATATCCGGAGGCAGAGGTGACTGGCATTGATCTCAGTCCCATACAACCCGGGTACGTCCCGCCGAACGTGAGTTTCATCGTTGATGACGCCGAGGCTGAATGGCTCTACCCCGAAAATTCAATCGACTACATTCATCTTCGACACATGGCACCAGCCATCAAGAATTGGCCCAAGCTATTGAAAGAAGCCCATAGGTATGCCCGGACTGTGATTTAGAGGTCGATATGCTGACGACAGTAGGGTCCTTAAGCCAAGGGGCTGGATCGAGCTTCAGAACATGAAGTGGACATTCGACTGCGATGACGGGAGCATGCCGTCTGATTGCACGCTTCCTAAGTTCACTAGCCTCGTCAAAGAGGGTCTAGAGAAATTCGGGGTTGAACTCTTCGCAGCTGATCACCATATTGAACGCTTGGAGGCTGCGGGCTATGTCAACCAGGTCAACGACGCGAAGAAGCTCCCTGTTGGTCCGTGGGCCAAGGAAAATGACCTGAAGATCATTGGCCGCTACAGCCAGGCGGCTGTTTATGATGGCTTATACGCGAATACCATTGCACCTCTTACAAGAGGTTTTGGCTGGTCATCCACTGAGGTCGAGATATTCTTAGTACAGCTGCGCAAGGATCTCATGAACCCGTCCATCCACTCGTACGCACACTACTATTCGATGTCAGGCCAAAAACCGTTGGAAGTTAAGTAATAACCGATTCGAAAATTCGGATTCCTTTCAAATATCATGTCATCATCTACGTTACTTCTTACAGGATGGTCAGGTCTAGGATGGAACATTCTGCGGACATCAACTGAGGCTAGGACGACACCACCTAATAAACGGCTTTATTCCTTGATGCATGCTTGAACTGCCAGACTGGAAAATTCTATTGAACATGATCCTCCTCTCTCAGAAATTATATTGTGTTGCGAGGAAAAAGCGCAGTTGCTGTTTAGAAATCGTGGTGCCGATGTCGTTGCAATAGTTTCATTGCTGGCAGATAATGTTGAGGGTCTGGCGCTGCACCCGCCTCAATGAGAGTGTCAGCTGCTCCCGAATTTCCCTTAATCCTCGCCAAGTGAAGAGCCGTGCGCCCTTCAGTATCCGTCTTCTCCAGATCAACGGAAACATGATTCTTCTTCTTTGAAAGCCTGCAAATATTGCGAACAATTTCATCTTTACCGTGTAAAATGGCCAGATGAAGCGCCGTCCAGCCGTAATTGTCAGTCTCATTTACAAAGGAATAAAGCTCCTCGACAGCGCCCCAGTGGCCTCCAACAACAGCCCAGTGAACGGCCAAGCGACCGTGAAAGTCTTTAGCCTTCCACTCGATTCCCGCCAGACCGTGGATGATCTGCTGGTAGGTTGCTGAGTTTATCCTGTTCAAGTGGGCAAGAACGGCAACGTTCCCCTCGCCTGCCGCCACATGAAGCGGAAACGCTCCATCCGTGCCTTGAACGTCGAATGTTGCGCCTGCGTCAGTGAGTGGAATAATGACGTGATCATCGCGGTAGCCGCAAGCATAATGAAGTGGCGTGTGTCCCCGAAAGTCTCTTGAGTTTACGTCAGCCCCGTTTTTGATCAAATATTCCACCATATTCAGGCTTTCTGTCCTAGCAGCGTGGTGCAGAGGTGTAGAGCCAGATGAATCGGGCTGGTTAATCCAAGGGATGTCTTTCCTGCATGTTGCGGGGTTCCCATTGATCGTCATGGCCTCGACATGAACACTTGTCATGTTGAAGCGTTGCGGCAACTTAGCTGATAGGTCTGGTGGGTCTTTGCGCTGCCTCCAAGGCAGGCACTTCCTCGCATGAAATCTATGACTCAATCGCCTCTCAGGTTGCTCTACGTCATGTTCAATATCCCTAGGTTCTCTCAGATAATGCAGGAAGCCTTGGTGTCTGTCTTGGTGGGTGTAAAGCGTTTTTAGGTCTTCGAAGAGCTGGTCATTGCTTAGAATCCTAAGGCATGTCAAAAGTGATGTTCGATGCTTTCGGAAATGTTGATCGAGATTCTTGCGTTGACCAGGGGTCATGTCCGACGACCAGCCATCGGATTGGTCACTTTTAGCTTGCTTATCCAACTTTCTACCCTCGACATTCATCAACAAAAGTTCGTCTTGTGCGTCCTGAGCATGCTCTATCAAGAACAAAAAGAGGTGCAAGAAGAAAGCTCTGCCCAGTTGAACTTCCTTACGAAGTTTGACGGAATTCAGATCATCATGATCTAGGAATAGAAGTTCCCAGTCTTGCGCTTTACGGGCGTCGATCTTTGCCTCGCAAAGAACGTCGAAGATTGCGAATGGTACCGGCGCTTTGTCCCAGAAGCTCAAAGGCAATAAGAGGCTCAACGTAGCTTCGATCTCAGAGCCAAGCTCAAGGTCGATTAAAGTTTCAATGAGCTTATCCAGGTCCCCATGCTTCAAAACACAGAGTCGGAGACTGCTCCTCAGAACATTTCGCCACGTGATGTCAATCAAGATGTTCTCAATCTCCGCTCTACCTCGCACAGGAGACCTCAGCGTCTGTGCTACAGAACAGAAGAACGAATATAGTAGGTCTTTTGCGTACAGAAGATCTAGGGTCTCCTGAGTTTCGATGGCCCAGTGAGCCCTCTCAGAGCGTTCAGGCGGTAGCTCTGCTACAAAATCTCGAGTGCGCCAGAACTCTCGCTCTCCTCTTGGAACGCCTAAAAATGGTCGTTTTTGTGGATTGAATCCCACGATTCTGCTCGATTGAAACCTTTTTGACACGTCGTGAAGCTCGTCTTTGTCTTCTCGGGGAAGTCGGTAGTCGGTTATGTTGAACATGGTCTGCATAGCTTTTGGCGTCCAGAGACTGAGATCTTTACACATCTGGTCTCTCATCTCATTATCCGCCGGACATAGAATTCTTAGGCTGGCTGGATATATCTTATTACGGAGCCAGCTGTCGTTCTCTGAGTTGACATATTTGAAATTTTCGGCGCCCTGGCTGAGCTCAAATTCCTGATCGGCTCCGCGGGCAGTATATACCCACAGTGACAAGACAGCGCCGATATCATCTGCCAAAACTTTCCAGGACTTTCCCTTGCGAGCTAACCGAAGCTGGAGAGACATCGCCGGATTCGAGGTAGGAGTTGATCTTAAGCCATTGTGAATAACGTCGATATTCCAGAGGAAATCGCTAGTCCCGTCGACTCCAGGACCAAATAGGGTACAAAATCGACATCGCAGTTTCCATTGCATTGGCAAGGTTCAGAGCTGTCTTTGACGTCTCTCGCTGGAAATTTGCGAGCTTAGCAAGCTCCCGGCGCACGTCTAACAGCCGCGAACCCGATTGGGGGCTTGAAAGGTTCTGTTTTACAGCTTCAAGTGGATGGTATCGGGAGCCCCACCCAGTACCGACAGCCCATGTCCCAGGGATATCATGTTGATTTGTTCTTCCATTCCTACCATGCCGCAATAGCGGACTGGATGCGGGATCTTCTGCGGTCCCACCATTTGGAGATTCAGATTCCGTGGGCCGGCTTTCCTTGATAGAGGACTCGTTCGTCTCCCAGACATGCTGTTCTGTGACCAGTTTCCAAGCTAGCCAGTCGATTTCAAACCCGGCGAGAAGCCTTGACTTCTCAAAAGAACTCGCAAATCCAGGTCTCACAAGAGCTCTTGAGATCGTCATAGCACCTACCGCAGCGAGCTGTGCCAGAGATGCTGCTGCGTTCATCACCCGCAGGCCAAAGAATTGGATGAAGAATCCCACAAGACCAATGAAAACCCCAATAACGGCCATGAGTTGCAATGTTTTATTATCTCTTCCCTCCCCATAATCTTTGCTGCGACGAGAGGTGATGATTTCAGTTCGTGGTAAAGAGGGAAAGGTTGCAAACGATTCAAAGACTTGATCACTGACGGTCTGCCCTTGTTGTAACCAATATAGACGGGTCTCATAGCCCTCGGTGGGTTTGTATCGTTGCTCATGTGTACTACTTTCCACCGCACGAGCACATAGAAGCAACCCTACAACTAACAGGATAGTACCGCTAGCTGCAAGTGGGAAGGCATGTTCAGGAACAGCTTCATCGTCCTTTTTGAAGTCATCCCGTATGTAAGCTGGATAGGTCATGACGGCAAAGAAAGCCAAAACACCTAGTTGAAGAATAATCCCCATAACTGCAACAATTCTGATAGGAGTCCGGCTATGGCTCTCTGATAGATTGAGGGAGATGTTCGGTGCTTCAGGGCCTGTGTTTCGAACGACGATCATGGAGGATCCGTCGATAGGGTCATCGGCAGGTAAGCCGGCCTCTGTTGTTGACAAGACGGTAGTTCCGTTCGAAGAACCATCAGTTGGGATATTGAGAGATATTGTCCAACTCTATGTTGTTCTCTCTCGAAGCCGAGGTACCGCATGATATACTTCATCAGAATCTCCGACATGATGAAATCATGTCTGTTAGAAAACCTACCTCTGCCTCTGCGAAACCAAGCATGAGTGCGTCTCATAATCCGCCGCATTGCCGTAGAACCAGCATTGGATCCATCTTCAACCACAGGAACGGAGGTTAACATTCCTTTCTGAATAGGTTGGGCTTGCACTTCCAGCTCAGAATTGCGAGTTCCTGCATAAAGGTCAGTAGGTTTCCCACATGGTATAAGAGGCCTACGCTACCTTCTAGTTTCAAGAACCCATCCTTAATCGCTTGTTCCAGTGTCTTGAACTGAATCCTTCTACCAGTCTGGTCGTTCCTCCTTACCGAATCCTTTTTGTTGTCATGTCTGGGTACGAGGCATATGTACTCCCATACAGGAGCCAAACCTTAACATCTGACGATACTCTCGCCATTGTATAACTCGCAAACCTCGCGGGAAGTAGACGACATCAGCTCCATTTCGGCTATTGAGATGTTCTCCTTCGCCCGGCCAATGATCGCCTTCAGCCGCATCGGCCCGCCCACGCGAATTGCGCTCACGATGATGGTGATAATTCCTAACGGAGCCATAGCTAACGCAACACAGTCTGCCCAACCCAGTGATTGACTCATGAACTGCATAGTCGCGCGTTCTCCAAAAAGCGCGAGGACACTGGATCGATTAGCATACTACCCATGAAAGAGCATGAAATCAGACTCACGGCGCTAGATCAGAAAAGAGATTATTGGTGAAATCATCCAGAGCCCCAGCCTGGGCGGAGACAATCAGCGAGGTAAATGCGAGGCATGCCCATAGCCGGCGACTCGCCATTTTGGTTACTTCCACTAGTGGATCGCTGCACTCTACTGTACGAGACTGTTGCTTCTGGTTGATAAGGTAGCCTTCGAAGTAATGCCGAGAAGGATTGAGAGGAGTTTGGGGAAGGCTCTGAGGGTTTTCGAATTGTATTGGTATTTGAAGATGGACAAGGCTGGCGCCTTGAGCAGGGGCTCATGCAGGCGTGCTGACTGACTTTGATCACGACGTAATGATTGGTGAAGCGAAGGGGCTTGTTCCGTTTCAATCAATCGTTCTTTGGCAGCTGAGAGAGCCTCCCTCGCTAGCCTAACAGAGCTTTTGCAATTGGTCAACTTTGCATGGAAGTTGCAGATTCGAGACTGATTGCAAGTATCACCCAGTATTTTATAGAGGTTGTCAGTTGACGGTTTTACCTGCGAGAACAAAATCGGTCATAGTCGACAATCAAAGAACAGGTTATCATGCTCAAGGAGTGAACTAGGGAATCGGGATTCATGCCTATGACGGGCTTAATCAATCATTTGATGCAACCTAGCAACCGCAATGTATATACATTCCCTTCCAGTTCACCCTGAGGTTATCTGCTTGAAACTATTCATCGTAAGCAGACAGCCTAAATCTACATAGAGTACAATTCTGGGCATTTCAGCTTCTAGAACGACCGCATAAGCCTCCTGGTGAAGGTTTTCAGTTTTGTTACTCCGCTAGATAATTGTATCTGTGCATGGGGCCGGGTGGAGAAAGATCACAGGACAACAACAATGACGACAAAGAAGACCGAAAAAAGGAAAAGCACCTGCGATAGGGACAAGAGTGATAATAACAGTGATCGAGGTAATAATTACCATTATTAATATATCAGGTGAACAGCTTATGGCAAATACTTTTTACGTGGAGCAGAACTCCAGTATTTTGAAAAAAACAGCTAAAGAATTAGCGATGCACGCCGTGTGCGACTGCGCAAGACCGAGACATCAGACGAACCAAGTCCTTCATTTGTCATACGGATATTTCTGGCGTCGGACATAATTTTGTTAGAGGCCGAAAGTCAACTTCGTGGGCATGCAGTGGATGAGGTGGTCGGACTTATCATCTTAACTCCATAATAGCGGCATTTGTGGAAACACGGGTCCACGGGCAATACGATCCGACAGAACAGAAGCAATTGGTTTTCCGACATCAGATACGCCCATAACATTATGTATACGGGGATTCTAAGGTGGTTGGTTACCTGTAGAGTTGCGGAGTTTAGGCGGGTCAGTGTCACGAGGAGTGATGCAGGCGGCAAGCTTCCAGATTGCTTAAAGACGAGATGAAATGCCTCGATGAATCATGCTATGATACCAACATTTGTCACCTGTTCTTATTATACACACCTGAACTTGCCCCTCCTTTGAGGCTGGGTAAAACCCCAGACATATGAATCAGACACGCCCAGTGAGTCGCATCATCATGGCACCAAAATACACCAACAAGCTCCAGGGCAAGTCTGTTCTAGTTGTGGGCGGAACTTCTGGTATTGGTTATGCCGTCGCAGAAGCAAGCGTCGAGTACGGCGCCAACGTCGTTGTGGCGAGTCGCACCCAGGAGAAAATTGAAAGCACGACCAAGAGACTCAAGGAGTCATACCCGAGTGCTGCGGACAGAATCCGAGGTCACGTCGTCGATCTTTACAGCGACGACTGCGAAACTAGCATCATGATGCTGTTTGAGTATGCGACCAATGGTAGGAAGGACTTGGTGGATCACGTCGTGGAATCTGCCGGAGAGTTCCTCGCCAAGTCGCCTACGCTCCAGGACGCCACGCCGGGCAACATTACAGACTTCGCCAGAACCCGCTTTATCGGCGTATCTATCCTAGCCAAGGTGGCAGGGAGCTACATGAAAAAGGAATACACCTCATCAATCACCATGACGAGTGGCGTACTGGGCTACAAGCCAATGCCTGGCTTCGGCATCAAGGCCGGCTTAGTCGGTGCCAAGGAATCGTTGGCGAAGGGTTTGGCTGTCGACATGGCGCCCATCAGAGTGAACCTGGTGGCGCCGGGTGCCGTACAGACTCCATTGCTGGATCATGCCAGTGAGAATATCCCGATGGAAAAGGAAGCTGTGGCCAATATGTACCGAAGCTCTACTCTCTTGAACAGGATCGGAGAGCCGGAGGACCTGGCAGAAGCTTACCTGTCAATGATGAAGAACTTCTTCATAACCGGAACAACCATCAACGTGGAGGGTGGCTTTTTGTTGAAGTGAGCGGATATCACGGAAGGATCCGGCGTTCGGCAGGCTGAGATGGCGATGCTGCCGGCTGTAGATCTGACGGAGCAAGGCCCGGTGACAATCCGCTGGCAAGTGAAGAAAGGGAGCACCCTGCCTGGCGCCGGACCACGATCCCGGGCTTCTGGGTGGAGCTAGTTTGACAGCCTTTGACGATGATATCCTTGACATATCGTCGGTAGATGGGCACTTGTTCTGCCACCTCTTCGGAATATCCCTAGCTCACGACCATGTATGAAGTAAGTAGATGACGGACCCAGGCCAACAGAAGAGCTTTGACCAAACCTTGTGTGAACTTTCGCTTATGTAATAGATCGTGATTTTGCTGTTGCCACGGACCATTTGCCCCTGGCCTTTTCCCCGCGGGTTCTGGATTTCGACATCCGTCAAGCCGTCACAACATTGACAAATTCAACCCTCTTTGTTTGTCTCGGAATGACTGTGCCTAGTTGCCGAATTTGTTTCTGTGTCTTACATGGGTGAATGGACTTCCTGATGACAACGGCGTCACAGTCTGCGCCCCTGTCCGGGTTGTCTCGCCCTGGGAAGGCCGCTCTTCGTCCGATGCCAAACACACAATGGAGGTATGCGATTCTCTTTCTCCAGCAGTCCAATTGCGAAGAAAAGCGACTGACGTGAACGACGCCACAGTCGTTGAAGTGGCAGCCTTCCGGTGGGAGGGCAACAGTGCGACGCTCCTCGCCGATCCCCGATCCGGTCCCTGACAAACACCATCGAGACGCGACTGTCCGGAGAGGATTCCGGCCGAGAACGCGTTGCATTCACTTGGGAACCCGCGAATGCGAGACGACCGGATTCGCATCTAGCGAACGAGAGCGATGAGCCGCCATCAATCAGCCCCGGCGCCACGCTCCTGAGCCAGACCGCATTCTGGCCACGACGCCGGCTTCACGCTTGGGCCAGATTGTTCATCCCCACCGACCCAACTCCACAAATAGCTCGATCGTATACATTTGGCAAGGACGAAGCTATAGGCGCCGGTGAGGCTGGGATATGTGCTGTCAACATGGCGCGATACATTGGGAATCGCGTGGTAGGGATGCCGTCCGGAGACCAGTGGTCTTGGTGGCTGGTCATCTTCAACTCCATTGTCAAGCAAGACATTTTGACACAGCAACCGCCGTCATGCTGGGCAATGGAGTAGTCCTGTCGCCGCGGGAGTAATCCAATGGCACATCAGCGCTAGAGCGGTCCAGGAGTTGGCACTCTATGGCAGGCGTGCTATTGAAACCTTGCTCCGCCGATGGATTTGGCACTCCGCGGCGGTAGGCGGCCTTCAAGAATCCTTAGGGCGTAGGGTGATTTACGTCCGAAATGTTGGATCATGATCCGGCCCTGTTTGATGTGCGTTTAGATGTGCTACTTGCACGACCTTAGTCTCGAAGATGTGAAGCAGCTTCAGGCACCGTTGGAACCAACGGACCAGTCTGACCAAGTTGTCGGATCCTGCACCCAACCACCGCTTTTGCCTGATGTTGAGAAAACGTCGGCGAATCGGCGACGTCACGAAAGGTCCGAGGCGCTCCCAAGTCCTTTGCGCCACGGCGCAGCCCGCCGCACTTCAAAGGGCCCGTGGCTTTCATGCCAAATAGATGATCCCTTTTCTGGTGATCGATGCTGCAAAACAAGACGCGCTCTGACTCAGCCATGATACCATTTCTCCTCGAGCTGCCGCCGAATCACCCTGATGACCCTAACGGTTCTGCATGTTCTCACGTGTTTTCTGCTGGCTAATGCAGCCAGAATTGTGCTAAACCATGGGCTAATTAGCACCGGCCACGCGGCAGGGGACGAAAATCAGGTGTTCCGTATCTTCGGAGCCGATTGATGCGAATCGTGGGTTCAACATTGCAGCCGAGTTTTCCGACATACAACGGGGTCAGTAGTGACGATGTCGAGCATCGCGAATAATTCGGAGTGTATTCGACATCATGAGGGGGGGCCAATGCCTGTCTGATACATCTTACTTCTTCCGGCGCCCAAAGCAATGGGCCAGATCTGCTAAGGAGCGCCGATCCAGTCGGGACCACTCACAGTGTCTCACTCGCCCAAGAGCCCCCAGCACTATGACACTGAAAGAAAGAACTGGGTGATAATAATGGAATAAAGATGCTCATATTCCGGATGCGATTGAACATGGGGGGAGGAGGTCGTCACTGGCCCACTTAGCCTGAAATGGTAGATCTTGACGGAGCAACACCTAGGGAGACCCCGGACTGCCTTGGCCCCGGCCGGTCCGACGCCGCGGCTGTCCGAGCGAACCCTCTATGCCAAAGTGTCTCTCTGGTGATTCGCCAATTCGCGTTGTTTGCACCACGCTGCTGCAGGAGTGCCGGTGCGGGAACGTACTATGGGTAGGCGAGAGGTGTCTTGCAACTGTGCTGTACGCAGCAGCGTACCTTCGTTCGTCCCATGAATGCAGTGCTTCTGCGTTTCTCCCCCGACATTCCCGGAAAGGAAGGACAGTCGTTAGGCGATGTCCCCGAGTGTCACTAGGCCCGTTGTAAGGTGTGTTGCAGTGTGTTTCCAACATGAGGCCAAGGAATCCCGCAGAGCACGGCCCATGTGAGTTGTGATGGGGGAAGAGCTGCCGAGGACGGCTCCGAGGTGCTTCGCTTCAGTCCTCGTATCGGGAGCACACGTGTGTTTGCATTCCGTGCATGCTGCACGCTCTGTCCAGACGGTGTCCAGAATGCTCAGAAGAGGGGCTAGAAAGAGGGAAGAAGCAAACGAAGAAACGGGTCTGGAAGAAAAAGCAATATGCAGAAGTAATTTGGTTCAAAATCACGTACGCAAGTTCTGTCCCCGCCGACGAACTGCGTATGTATCATTTTCATTTGTTTTGATTGTCTAGGGGCTGGTTTCTCATATCCATCTGATCGGCTGATCGGCTTGTGGGCCACTTCTCATCTCCATCAGCTAGGGAAAAGTTGGGGAACTGCTCGACCGATTCACGACTCTGATCTGATTCCACTGACACAGGGAGATGAGAGGAGGACGCCGAATAGACTTCTTCCGTGAATAACTTTGTACAGATTCTCTGTGGCAAGGAACCGAAGGCTTGTAACAGAAAGTTATGCCCACCAGCCCTGCATCAGCAGATCATGCCCATCTTTGTTCCCCTCATCCCCCAAAACTGCTAGAATGCCAGTGCAGACTGTAGCAAGTGAAACAAGTTCGCCAGCGAGCAAAAGTAACCTAGTCTATCCCAGCCGCTTCCGGAGCGACAGTACCACGTGTGCAGGGGCCCGATGCTGACGGCTAACAAAAGAAGGTCGAACCAAGCCTACGGGGTGTGGCGTGCATCGAAGTCTGGAGCTACTTTTTGTAGTTTCTGCCCTCGAACCCCCCGGTCGGGTTCATCTCGACAGCACTATGGGCGAGACCGACACACAGGCGGGATCATTTATCATACCCTTCCCTCCCTCCCTCCTCTCATCAGTGTCCCCCTTCTCGCATGTGGTTTGTCTGACATTCAACAACTATCGCTCGGGTTTGAAACCTTTTTGCCAAACGATCTCAGGGCAACTGCAAACGACTTGACGCCTCGCTCAACCCGCCTACGCAACTTGTCGAAGAGGGAGGAAGGGGGACTCGAGTATGCGAACGGGAGCGAACGCTCCCACATCAAGCGCCAATGGGCTCCATTCTTGATCTGCTCGGCAAGGCCGACAACCTCAGCGACCCCATGCCGATATTGAACGAGCGAGCTGCAGTGCTTGGCATGGTTATTTCTTTCCTGGTGGTCGCCTGGATCTGCGGCATCTTTCGACTTTACGTTCGATTCTTCGTCGCCCATTGCCTGGGATGGGACGACTTTTTCGTCGTGCTGGCCATGGTAAGTCGTCATCATGATGGGAGCAGGTTATGAATCGGCATCTAACATCCATTTAGCTTTCCAGCTTAATGTTATCAGCAGCGACATGTGTATCAACGAATTACGGTTTAGGTCAGCATTTTCTGACGTTGGGCTTCGGTGGTATGGTCGCGTTTGCTAGGGTAAGAGTCCTCCCTACGTTGCATTGACATCCCGTCTGACCATTTCCACAGAGTTTCTATGTTTGCGGTGGCGCATACGCGATGGCCACGGCCTTGATCAAGCTGGCGTTGCTTTTCCAGTATATGCGCATGTTCGAGGCCGGCTCGAAGTCGCGATTCGTCACTCTGGTGGTCATCTACATCACCGCTGCATGGGGTCTGGCCTACAGCTTTCTCGCCTTCATCCCTTGCTTCCCGGTCTCGGCGTTCTGGAACTTGACAACCGTCACGAAGGACAGATGGGCTTTCGGCTCACACGACCCCGTCATCTTTGCGCGCACTTTCGAGAGTCACGTCGGCATGAATGTAGCATTGGATCTCATCGTCTTCCTCATTCCCCTCCGGCTGTTCCTGGAGCAGGGTCTGAGGGCGAAGTCACGTCTCGGTCTCTTGGGTCTTTTCACCATGGGCGTTCTGTAAGTTAATCAGTGTTGCCACCTTTGGGTGCATTCCACTAACCCGGGCTATAGTGTCAATATTCTGGGGATTTTTCGATTGATTGGCATCACCCACACCCAAGCCGGTACATATCCGACCCTGGATCCCTCATGGTATGGATGCGTGCCCATTGTTCTCGCCGCCGTCGAGGTCAACCTCGCCACAATATGCGCCTCACTGCCGATCTTCTGGCCCGTCCTCCAGATGAACTTGGGCAAGATCTTTATCACGAAGGAAATCGAGATCACATCTGAGGTCAGGCGATTCAGCGGCGACGAAGAGATGGTCGGCGAGCTTGGTGATCTTTCGCCACAAAAGTCGTTAAAGAGTCTCGGCAGAGACCCCAATCCTAGGTGGTCGGACATATATGCCCCGTCCCCGGATCGTTCGAGGGCGATGAAGGTGCACGTTGAAGTGGAATCAGGCCACAAGCATGGAGAAAAGCTATTTGTTTCTGAGCGTTCCAGGCGAGTTCTTGACGACCACGAGTCGCAAGAACATATTGTTTGTTCCAATGTTCCATACGTTTAGTTAGATGATACCACATTTGATTTTCCGTTTCACCATTCAATCATTCTCCTCATCATCCGTCACAATGAGTGTCATGCTCCCCTTCTAGGGGTCCACAGTGACAGTCTGTCATTCTCAATTACGCCCGTAAATCCAACATATGTCTCAGCCCTTAGAGGTTTCATAGCCTTGGCGATGAAGCGAAGCCTTTGTCAGATTGAGGAAGTCTCACTTCTTTCGGCCGTCTTCGGCGAAATGAGTCGGAGTTCGTCGGTGATAGGACCGTTTTTTGACTGGCTCGCGGAACTCTATCCGGTCACACTGACATTGGTGGCTGACTGCGTCTTTGTCCCGAAACTCTAATTCCAGCCTCAATCGTCCTCGATGCCCTTTCTTCGGAGCACTTTCTCCCTATGCTGCTCGCAAGTCAATTAATTACACTGAAAATACAATATCCTGTCGCCATGTAACGTCGTTCATTGACCAATAACTAGCTATTACTATTATCAACGGTCGTAAACCGTCGTTCGAGATTCATACAACCCCTCACTTGCAGTTGTGCTACTAATTAGTGCGGCTCCCAATTGGGATCACTGATACTCGTAACAAAACGGCCCACCCCTGATATCCATCACGTCGCTCACCACCATGTCCTTGCCAAAGTTGGGGAAGCTCAGCGGGTATTGAAGGGTGATGTTTTCATATGGCACGTCCCCAAAGAAGTTGAACGGGTAGGCGAACATAGCGTCTGGGCCGCCAATGGCAGTTTTGCGCGCAGGCCAATCTACGGACGAAGCGTTGTCAGTCGGCAGGTTTCCGAGTCCAAGATGTGGCCATATTTCTGAAGTCAAATTCATCGCATGATGCCCGGCAACTGATGCAGGCTGAAAGGGACCCCCAAAATAAGGAAGGCGACATACCTATGCGCTGCCAGTCGTTCCAGATCTTGTCCAGGGCGCTGTGGATGAAGTAAAAGATGGGATCACCAGGGGAGGAGTACATGTCTGCGTTCTGGACAGACTTAGCTGATGCTTTGGCCAACTGCATTGCTTTGACATGAACTCACCTCGCCCACTTGACCCCCAATGCCTAAATGCATCCCAGCATGAAGGGTTATGCCGCTGGCCTCAAAACTATAACCCTGAATGTGCTGATTGAACTCATCGTAAATAGGTGCTGAGAGAGCGCGATCAATGACTTCGTCGGCAAGCGCTGCAGCGACCAGAGTTGGGCTGAAGTCACGTCTCAGGCAGTGGGGTTGGTGTTCGACAGAAGCGCCTGTGCAGAGAATTAGTCTTCAGTTGCGTTCACCAGGTGAACCGTGAGAAGACTGGCATACCAAGACCCATGGGGACAGTCAGGTTCGCAAATGGGCCCTCCTGCACACATCCTAAAAACACGTCAGTTGGGTGTGTCGTGACTCGTGTCAAGTGTTTCACGAACCTCCCCCCGTCCTGTTGGGAATTTCCGTTGGTGTCTTAGTAGGGAACTCTTCAGGGTCGCTGAGGTCTTGGATATACGGCCCGTTCCCGCCGAACCCATACACTTTATCGAAGATAGGGGAGTTGACGAAACTCTCCGCGGTGTTGTCAATACTGATGTCCCAATACGGGAGACCGCCCTGGTAGGAGCATTTGTTTCGCAATTCGGACTCAAAGAGGTATAGCAACCATCGATGCCAGCTGCAACCTGTCAGTTGAAAACTCAATTGCGAGACAATGGCTGTGTTTTTACGGTAGGAAAGGGCCCTGTGGGATAAGTTAGACTGAACCAAATCAAAGCTTGTTCAGAAAACCACTCACGTTGAAATGCACTTGCTCGGTGACTCGGATGTGCAGACCCTGGAAGTCATCGTATCGTGACCTTGCTCCAGGCCATAGCTCATTCCCTTCGGATAGGAGAGACATCAAGCATTTTACCGCCCCGATATAGTCGAGCCTCTGCTCGAGGGAGAGTTGTCGCCACTCATGCCTAACCAAGGGGTTCCTGCAGCAGGCTGGGCCAGTGTTGTTGGAAGGGGCCGACGCCACGCCACGAACGGACGCCAGAGCGAGAAGGTGTGGTGCAAAGACAGAGAGGGGCTTCATGATTGCTCCCTTGCAGTAAAACGGCCAGAAGACTTGAGATACTCGGGAAACCACAGCTACTCAGATCGTCGTTTGACCAGATGGGGGAGTAAGATAGCTATTCAAAAAGCCAGGTGAACAGGCTGGATATATACAAAGGATTAGTGGCGATGAATGGTCTGCACCAACGGCAAAACATGCGAAGGAGCAATTGAGCAGGCATCTACCAAGACCCTGGCGGCATGAAAATTGGGAGGCGGCCGCTGCGTCTGGCGAATGTGATTGATGGCCATAAAGTCTAGCGCCTTGGAACACGGCTTACTTGCTGATTTCAGAATATTGAAAGGCATCAGAATGCACGTTGGTCGCATCGCGTATCAGCAGTCATGGATGCCAGCAAACATTCAGTCGCTGTGTTGGTCACCAACAGGGTCTGGCTCGATCGGATGATGAGTGGATGCTGCTGATGGACCCGCTGTCGAGGCCCTGTCGCTCAACGAATCTCTCATCCTTGCTTCAAATATGTAGACCTCGCAAGGACCCCTTGGAGGCGGTGGCTGGCACTGACTGCCCATGGGCAGAGAAATGAGTTATGACTCAGATAAACGGCTTTGTGGACTCGATACCCCAAAGCGCAACACGGTTTGATTGCGATCTGGACAGATGTTCGATCTTTTCACAGCTCCTAACTGGCAATCTTTCCGCCTTCAAGTCTCTCGACGACAGGTTTTCATCGCAGCAACATAAAAATACTACATCCAAAACCCAGACACCAGAAGCGACCGGAAGCTGGGGTCATAGTCTAGCGTGCGGCGTTGAAAAAAGGTAGGGGCCCTGCCCGTTCTCTATGCACCAACAGCGCTTCATGGAACGTGCATTCATTTAAGAGTCGCTTAGAATTGCGGAGACCGATGCAACCCTTCATCTTGACAGGAGAAGGAGTCCGGGGCCAAGCCAATTGTGGTACGCTGGCTGGCATTACACGGATAATCGCGGGGAGAAATCCATTATTGATCTCTTTTGAAATGCGACAGTTCTAGAGTCAGCCGCAAAACAATATCAGATGACAACATAACATCATTTTAGATTATAATTTTCGCAAGTCTGTTTCCAAGTCAATATCTGGATCCTGATAGCGTCGACAGGCGTGGGCAAAGATATAGAAGAGAGAACTTTTCGGCCGCGCTAATTGCTTCGTTGGTATCTACAAAACTTCCAAGGGCCGAAAAGAGATAGGGAAGCATTGTTTGGTCCTAAGCCTGGTGTTTGGAACTCTTCAGGTCTGATTTTCTCTGACGTATTCTTCTCTATCTTCGTTTTGCTGTGAGAACCCTTCTTCTTGCTAGTTCATGATGGCGGACAACACTACCGCTGTCAATTTTAGAGACTCGCCAGGCTATGCAGGCAACAAGACCCTCTATCTCAACACCGCCCTCACTGTTTGCACTACCCTTGTGGTTGGTACAAGGTTGTACGTCAGAGCGTTTATGTCGAAGGCCTTAGGACTGGACGACATCATGGCGTTTGTCGCGTTTGTAAGTTCGACCTTATTTGGCGAGCTGGAATGACCGTGATGACAATTGTATTGTTAGGGCTTTGTAATTGCACTCTCGGCAATGGATATTCGCTGTAAGTGGCACGATTGGACTATCCGTAGACTGGATACTGAGACCGGAACGTAGTGGTTCAATTTGGCAGCGGAGCGCATGTCGACAATGTCCCACAGGAAGATTTGGCAATATGGTTAGAGGTAGACTCTCAAGCAATCCCCAAGCAGTCAAGAGCTGACAGGTTGGATATCAGTCGATTGTTACACAGGTCTTGATCTACTTTATTGGCACCGGGCTAATGAGGCTTTCGATCGTTGCTTTTCTACCCCGCCTCAGCCAAGACAGTGAGGAATCATTGCCACCAAGATTATTTCTGCTGTCGTCGCTTATCCCGAGCTAAAAACCTACATGATTCTCGTTTAAATTACTGGATTCTTCGTCATCGCTCAGACGCTCGGGTGCTTCATCTATCGGTTGACCGAGTGCAATACAGTTGCGTAAGTCATTATATCGAGGGTGGCGGAATCAAGGATCTTAGATTGTACTGACATCAACCGTATGCAGGGATATATGGAAGCCTCCTTTCATGCCAGGTCTTGACTGTGTGCCCCCGAAATCCGAAAATAACATGATGGTGGCGCACCAAATAAGTGGCCTGGTTCTTGACCTAGCCTTAATGGGGCTCCCGATCTGGGTCGTCTACACCAAGATGCTCTTCACCGAGAAGGCCTTTCAAGTCATTCTCGTCTTCAGCGTGGGGATATTTGTGATAGTGACGGGTTGCATCTGTTTATACATGTTGACAACCCTCCTTTTCCTGGCCGATCCGTAAGTGCACATCAGACCAAGCCCAGTGCTGGCAGTTTGTTCAGGGGCCGACTGACCTTCTAACCCAGAACATTCAACATGTCAACCATCGGTGTCTGGACTGACCTCGAAGGACACATCGGCCTATGGTTTGTCTCCTTTCCTGCTCTTCAACCCATTGTCCGTATTGTTTCATTCAAACTGGGCTTGAGGAGCAAACTACAGAGTTACGGAAAAGACGGTCGATCAAACACTGGCGGTGCAGCACGGTTCAAGTCCGCACCTTGGTCAGGGTTGACCAGAAGCAAGGGCTACGTGCGTAATGGAAGCGGTGCCGACGACACCGATAGCCACAGTGAAAGGGCTTTTGCACAAACCAAAGGCGAAGATATGGAGCTGGATTCACGTGGGAATAGGTTGACGGGGATTCAAAAGAGGATTGAGGTTGAGGTTCGCGTCGATGAAGGTCAGGACCACACCACTGGCCCAAGCTATCCACCAGGCGGTGGCTCTAAAACGTGGCTTGCCATTTGACGTTGTATGATATTGACTTGGATTCACAAATAGGCAAAATTAGTTGCAGACACATTGGCATATCTAACTTGAAATCAACTTATTGGAATTTCAGCAGTGCTGACTTAAAGCGATGTCTGTAGTAACTTAGTCTCATAGTATTCAGATGCTCTTCTAAGTAATCGACGATCTATCTATCTCCTCTAGATCTTGGCAACTGCCCGGTAGCAAGGATAGTCACCACGGTTCAGAGAATTTCGAAGCTCTCTGATCCGCTCCTCGGTCAACAGTAACGATGTAGGGAAGTCCTTTGGAAGCTTTTCTCCCAATATCATATATGCAGCAGCCTGACTAGAGCGGAACGCCTTGACCATACCAGTAGCATGATAATAGGCGCCGCAGACAAATTGATGGCTACATCCCGCGAAGGGAAGTGGTCCGATGAACGGAAGGCCGTCTTGGGTGAAGCTGACAATGCCGGACCAGGAGTGATCAATATTCGTAGCCGCATCCGCCTTCGGGTTTGAAATAGCCTCGAAAGGGAAGCCGCGCAGATGTGCGTGAGGTGCTAGATCAGTCACAGTGTCGTCGCCGGTCACGGTACGTCCTGTGCAGGCGCGGCCAGTGACGATGCCTCCGTCCTCACGTTGGATAAGGTAGTCGTAGTCTTTGCGTCCATAGCGATACCAGACAGAGTACTCCGGGACTGTTCCAAGAGGAGACTTTCCATTGCTGTCGGCTGCCCAGTGAGCCACATTTACACGGACTGGAGAGACGAAGGGCTGCATCTCGGGGAGAAGATAGCCCATCCAGGCGTTGGTAGCGTGGATGACCTTCTTGGCCTTGATGGTACCGCGCTTCGTCTTGACGGTAGCAAACTCCGCACCGTCGCGATCCTCTGTGGAATCCACAGCTGTGTTGGTCTGCATGTTGACCTTGTTTCCTCCGATGAGGTTCTCCCAGACCTTGGCGATCCACTTGTAAGGCCAGACAGAGCCTGCGGGGATGGTGATGGCTCCAACGCAGCGCTTCGATAGCTTCATCTGGTGCTGCAGAACATCTCTATCGGTATGAACGGTGTGAAGAGCGGCAAGGTGAGGTGCGTGCGCGCAAATGTCCTCTAGTGCCTTGAGGTCTTGTTCGAAAACTACCTGGTCGTAGTAGGCCTCAACACCAGTGGTGAGAACCAAATCACAGTCTGCGCCGTCTTCCTTCGTTGCTGCAGCGATGGCGTTCAGGTGACTTCGCTCAAATTCAGAGATCTTGATGGCCTCCTGGATTCCGAACTGGTGTTTCCGCTCGTTCCACATCGAGAAAAGCATTGTCTTGATGTGGCCTCCATTGCGGCCGGTAGCACCGGAGCAGAGAGTTCTAGCTTCGTGGACAACGGTCTTCAGGTCTGGCCTCTTTGCACAGAGAGTGCGGGCTAGGGTCATGCCGGAAATACCGGTGCCAATGATGAAGAGGTCGACAGGGTCTTGAGGCCATGGTGAAATGTGGTTGGCATAGGCGCTTGGGTTAACGTGCCAGTATGGCTTGGTCGAGTTGGTGCGAGGCAGGCCAGGGTTGACCACGCCTGGCGGGTAGATGCCTTCAAGTGCTCCAGACATTTCACGGCAGATATATCTGTTGATTCAAATGATCTCGGGAAAAGTGAAGAAGAAGCAGACCGAATGCACGGATGAAGAGGCGGCGACAGCGAAGGTAGGGGTAGACATATTGGTTGGTTCTTTACACATTGCACGATTAAGTAGTTAACCATGTTTTGGTGTATACCTAGACTGGCCTAATGTGCCATGAAGCTCAACATGGTGACCGTGCCAACATCAACCCGTTTTGGGAAGGTTTAATGAGACCTTTGGGCTCTCCACCAAGCAATTCTGGGCCGATCTCATCAACGGTGGGGCATAGCTGGACAACGGCATTTCGTGTTTTAGTTACCCCGCGTCACCCCTCCACTCTGCAGCTTATCTTCCTCAGCTTCGGCAATGGAATTCTAACACTTCTCATGCCAATCCACCCATTCGTTTGATAGTTTTCCGAATCTCCGCCGATATCTGCCCGGTCCCCGGAAAGGTGGAACCTGAAATGCTCGGAAGGAAACCCAAACTGAGGTGGTCTCTCAGCTCTATCCCAAAAGAGCCCATGAGGTCTCCGCAAGGTCTCTTCGTACTTTCTCTTCCCAGAAGGACACGTGCTAGTCCCAGTCTCCCAACATGTGCATGGTTCATTCACTCAACATGAAGCATGGAGGATAGAATTACACTAGTCGTCGCAAACTTTGGCGCACCCTGCTAGGCCGTTGGTTTATCGGTTTTGTGACCTTGGTTTGAGAACCCACTCGTGAATCTCGTAGAGAGCACATTATTATCGCAGCTACGCAACGACAGGCCAAAACTCTTTCACTTCTTCTCACTTTCACTTTCTCGTCATCATCATTTCTGTTGATCCAGTCTGCAAGATGGGTCATACAGTTCCAACCGTGAGTTATGTCTTCATTTGTCTCCGTCTCTTACCCAAACAGTGTATTCTAACCATGACGTAGTTGAAAGATGGCACTCTTTTCATCTAAAAGTGCCATATCGATGGCCAATGGACAGAAGCAGCCACGGGTCAGATTTTCGAAGTCCACGATCCCGCCACTGGCCAGTTGGTCGGAACATGTCCCGAGTGCGATGCGATAGATGCTGAATCGGCCATTCGCGCAGCCGAAAATGCGTTCGTCTCATTCTCGCAGCTCACCGGCCGACAGAGATCCAAAACACTAAGGAAGTGGTTCGATTTGACGGTGGAAAACCTCGATGATATTGCCATTCTTATTACGTGGGAAAGCGGGAAAGCTTTTGCGGACGCCAAGGTCGAGGCAGCATACGCCGCTAGCTTCCTCGAATGGTTTTCTGAAGAACAATGATGTTTTCTTCATTCTGCCCGTCGCTTTGGTGGTCGATCATCATGCTCTCAGATGGAGGGGCGATGAACGATACTCTAGGGGCTTTCCCTCCTCCTTTTGACGCCTCACCACCCGAACCTCTGGCTAAGCTCGCCATGTTTCTGTCATCTACTGGCGAGAACAACCCTGTGTCATGTTGGTGCCCTTCGTTCGCTTGGGACCGAGTCCGGCCTATATCTTCATCTCCAATGTCTCTTGCAATGTGGCGAACCTTTAAATTGGTAGGAAAACTTTTATCTTTGACAACATAACGAGGCCTCATGAAGCGTGACATTGACGTTCTGTCTGGAATCTCGATCCAGCTGCTACGCAAAAACGACGCAACCTTCTCGGTTTCGTCCTTGCAATCCTTTTGCTTAAGGATTTTCTTCACGGCATCCTATATCCAAAAGTTTAGTAATCCGACAAAACTTTGGAGGTGTGAAGTGTCAACTCCGGGCCGGGTCAGAAGGTCTCACCTCCATCTATGTAATCTAGCTGACGTTAATATGTCGCCTGACATATCATTCTCACGAAGAGTAACTCACGTTGCTTGCCGGTAGATGTATCCACGTAAAATCCGGACCAACTCTGAAGCTGGCACCAGAGACGTGAGGTGATGCTTGCTTGTGCGGATTGGGGTTGTACTCGAACTTCTGGAGTCTCTCAACGGTCTGTCGCACATTCTCCATCTGATCTGAGTCGTACAAGATCTCCTGCACATTTCGGAATTTGAAGAAGTTATTTTGAATAATGGCGGCGCGGAAGCGCTGAGAAGTCTCCTTCATAGGCTCAGTTTGCTCCGATAGGTCACACGGGCTGGCTCTTCTCTCGGCCTTCTCCGGATAAAGATAGTCCAAGATATCCTCCAAGTCTTTCAGATCTTTCAGGTCAGGGTCTCCATCTCTTGTTTGATCAGATGATTTCTGTTCCGCCTGCCGTCTTTGCCGGTCGGGCTCACTCGGCCGTCGTAGTGAGGCTTGTGTCTCTGCTCTTAACCTTCGAATTAAGCTCAAACCCAGCTCTCTGTCCTCGCCGACTGGGCTGGCCTCATTGCCCTTCTTGTTCAACCCTACTGCTCTAAGATAAGTCAGCAGCGCTCGAGGGAGACGAGCGTGAATTGCCCATTCAACCAATGAGCATCTGTGGGGATCAAAGTCCCCTCGTATCTTCCCGGCCTGTTTCAACTTCGTGAAAAGCTCCAAAGCAGTGGTGTGTCTCTCCAGGCGGCACACAGTCCAACACAGTGGCTCCTCGGCCTACTGAAGTGTTTGGTCTCGAGCAAAAAGTTCAATGAGGAATTGTACCAAACCTCTGCTTTCAGGAAATGGACAGTCTTTGTCCTTGTCGAAGCAAGAGTCAAACGCTGTCTCGCCACGAATGTTTGATTGTAGGATTCTTTCTGGTCGCATCAATTGAATCAGGCCTTTGGTGAGGTTCTCATCCCGTGGTACTGCAGCATTCATCGCGTGATGCAGTACCGTGTTCTCTCCCAAGTCGATCGCATTGATATCCGGGCCAAGCTTCAACAGCTCCGTAATGATATCCGAAGCCGTTGATGAGTTGCCAGAGGCGTCAACGAGCAGAGCTCCACCACAGAGAAGCATAACCGGCGTAATTCCATCCAAACCTGGCATATCGATAGCTGATTGGATATATTTTGGAGCTTGCCCTATCAAGTTGTGGAGCAGCTTTGCCACGATTTTGGGATAGTTCTGTCTCATGGCTGTCATCAAAGGTGTCCATTTCTCAAAGTCCACCATGCTGAGGCTCGCACCGACTTCTAGCAGGAGGTCAACGGCACTTTCAGTGCCATGATACACAGCCCTATTAAGCGGAGGCCATTCAGACTCCTTGTAGACCTCGTTGATGGACTGCTCATGCGGCTTAACGAGCTCTCTCAACAACCGGGATTTCAGGGGCCATCTGACAGCTCCATCGAGGGGATATTGTCCATCGTGACCTCTTTTGGCAGCATCAGCCCTGGCCCTCAGCAATGCTTCAATAATCGTCTCGTTACCAACATCGCAGGCTGCTTGCAAAGGCAACCACCCGGAGTCATCCTCGAGCTCAATGTCGGCCCCTGTCTGGGCAAGCCTAGCAGTCACGCCTTCAAACCCCTTCCAGATGGCGAGTAGAAGAGCGGCTTCCTTGGTATCCGGGCAGCGAATGTTGAGCAAAGGCTTCCATTCTTCTAGTTTTTCTTCAAGATCCTCTAAAGCGGATTCGTCATCAGCTGCCGTGTTAATCAGCTTGTGCAAGAGTGTCTCTTCATATTCGTGCTGCGCTTCGTCCGGAACATTCCCTTTCTGTGGCTCTATTAGCAAAATATCCTTGACCAACGGGTAGGTTACCAACCCTCCAATTGATTATATCTTCAAATATAGGAGATGTTATCTGGCCATCGTCTCTTCCGACATCGTCGTGGACAGTCTAAACATGTAGCAGCCCCAACGGTTCGATTCTAGGGGGACTATTTCTCTCATAATTGCCTCCAGTTGAAGAACCATGCACGGACATGGCTGCACATGGGAAAGGTGACGGAAGGTGAAATATTCAACCCTAACCAGCTGGGCTGCGGCAGTCTCTTAGATAAAGAACATCAGGCTACGGGCGTGCAAGAGACTAACGCGGACCCTCTCAGTCACTGCCAATCCATGCAGCCCTTTTGGAAATGAAATGCCGAGTAATATGCCCAGAACCGCCAAGGGGGGCACATCACAGCAGGCTCCTGATGCGTCACATTTTGTTCATTTCTGGGCCGTTCATTGGCCAGCCTTCTCCCAAATCATGGTCTAAATGCGAAAAAGATGTGCGATCTGATCTCGGCCTGCCTTTTTAGTTAAAATGTTGAGTACTAGCGTCGCTCTGTCTTACGAAAGCCAGTTTCGTCTGTCCGAGCCTTGCATGCTGCCCCAGACGAGTTCTCAGTTGGTCCATGACAGCATGATGGCTGCCACATCGCCCAACCGTCTACCTAGGTTTCTCTTGCGACTAATTACTACCTCTAAAATCTTGCTCCCTTGAAATGAATCAGATATTGAACTATCTCTGGTGGCAATTAGTGTGTGTGTGTGTGTGTGTGTATCTGTGTGTGTTATTCTACGCCGATGCGTCCCTATTGCATATGGCAAAGGGCGTCCAACAGTCATGGAACTTTGCCTATTAAACATAGAGAGAGGTCAAATGTAGGTGCGAAGGGACCATCAACGATAGGTGTTTCCGCATTTCAGACCCGAGGTTTGGTTGCTTTAATGTCACTTGCGATAAGGTACCGCTACCCATGTTGACGCCGTGTATCTCGAGCCCGTCAGCTATGTCGCTTATTTCCGTGTTCACGCAAGTTTGGCTTGCAACCATGGAGGTACCATGATGTTGGCTTGTCTATCGAGTTCACACATTCTAGACATTCAATCATCATCATCGTCATCATCCTTCTTTCCACCAACGCCACTACCAACCTTCTTCTTATCATCATCGTCGTCATCACCACCATCCTTGAAAGCATTCGGCGTTGCAGCGACCGCCTTGGCCGAGCCTGCTACCGGTTGCCCAGCAGTCGCAGCCACCGCCGCAAACTGCGCCGTTCTCGCATTCCCCAACCTCGCAGTAAACGGCCCAAACCCACGCTCGTGAAATCCAAGATTCGCCCCGGGATCGCTCGGGTTCCTGACTGCCTTCTCAGACAGCGCCCATCCCATAACCGCGTTCGCATTCGTAGCCTCCGGGCCCAGTCCCAATGTTGTATCGAGGCAGTTTTCGCAGAGGAAGGTGTACGTGAGAGATGTGGCGTTGACGGAAACGCTTTCGGCGATTGGTCGAACGGCAAAGTTGCCTTTGACTTCGGGCGGGTTATCTTCGTCGGTTGCCTGCCGGAAAGAAGCCATCACGCCGCCAGCACCATCCGGCCATGCGGCTAGGATAAAGTTGCCCTCCATTTCGCCGGTCAAGCCCATGGCGCCCCATCCGGCGCCGTTGACGAGAGGAAAGGAGAGTTGTCCGATGAAAGACCCGGCTCCGGCGCTCCCGTTCTGCTCCGGGAGGGCCATGGCGAAGGCGAATGATGTTCGGGCACCGAAGAAGCGCTCCATGTTCAGGCCGGTGGCCTGGTCCACGAACGGAGCGCTCTGTTGAGCGGGGGTTGAAGTGGCATCGTCGCCTGCCAAGGTGATTGTGACGATGGAGAAGAAGAAGAGGGCGGAGATGAAGAGTTTTGAAGAGAGGAGGCGAGATCGGAGGGGGAGTGTTTGTGATGCCATGGTGACTCAAGTGGGGTTATGTGATAGAGCCTTTGTCTAGAATTGAGTGATTACAATTGAAAACTCGGCGGCCCGCGCTGGAACGAAACGAATCTAACGATGCGAGAACGAAGGCGCTGGAGGGCTGTAGACTCTACACGAAACCAAAGACCGCGAGATCTCCATCACTATTTATCAACTCGAAGTCTATAAGGTCTATCTACCCCTCATCTCAATTTTTGCCAAGAAGCCATCGCGATGTGACAGCTTCGTCTCATTCCCGCCCAATGACCGGCGTGGTGAGGCCATGTTTAGGCTTAGATTAGCAGCTACCCAAACAGCCATCAGATAATGAAAACTGCAACCGGCCCCCGTTCGGTGGGAAGTTGGCTAACTTTGGCGAGGAAACCCGGGGGATTTTCTCGGCTGCTATTAATAAACGGACCAAAGAGAGAAGGTGGTGCGGCAGGTTTTGGCGACACACTTCATGTCAAGGTGTCTGACAGCTGAGTCGTTTCGAATTGCCTGGGGTGGGGGCTGGTCGCGCATCAACGGCGGTGCGCAGCCAATTGGACGGGGTTGGCCCTGAACCCCTTGCTGTTTCATGGCGTGAAAAATCGCGAATAGCTTCAATACGAGGTGGAGGATGATGGATTGGATTATTTGCTGGATATGCGGAGGAGGCAGGCTATTCGTTGTGGTACTCTTCTAAGTCTGGTTCCGAGGTCGAGTTGCGAGACTCCGCGGGTAGTCGACACTAGGTGGGGTTTCAAAAGAACTTCCACCCGCGTCGGCAAGAGATGCTACAACTTGTGAAAGCTAGGATCTCTTGAGTTGCATCATAGTTGAGAGAGTTATGACCCCCATTTTGAGATTTCCACGTGAAGCCCCCGCCAAGATCATCAAAGACGTCGACTGGAACTGCCCAGGCTTGGAGGCTTGGAGTCTAACAGTTGCGCCACGCTTTCGGGATCGCGTCGACTTATGAGTTTTTGACATTGAGTCTTGGCAACGGAAGATGCAACTTGAGAACATCAACCGTCCATCTTATGGCATATTTTCCACTTTCATCGACAATGCATCACGGAGGCAGCCCTGCGTTCAATGAGCGGCAACGTGCTCGCGTGCCCTCTTACCCCTTCAGGTCGCAGAAACTCGGTAAAGTTCCACCAACACCCTGCCAGCGGGGGAATAAACTATTCAAAGATCTCCGGGCCTAAGAATAGCGTTCCGCCAGCGGCCGTCCGGCCACCTTCGGGGATGGAACGGAATTGAAAAGAACGCTCGACAGGAATAAGAATAAAGATCAAAATAAAAGCCGCCGCGTTTGGAATGAGGGTCGCGACGTTTAGGGCTGTCCAATGGGGTCGGGTCTCATGTCATCTCAACCGCTATCATTAGGTGCTGCCAGCGCTGTTAGGAGGAACAGGGGGTTCGTGGTTAGGTGCCCTGTCGGCTGGGGTTCCCCTCGCGCAGGCTGGGGTTGCCCCGTTCGTCTGATCGGCTCAGGGGTCAGAGGGCCACCAATCGACTGTTCTTGCCTGTCGTCTCTGGGATTGGACGTTTTGTCGATCTTGGCGCGGACGACTCGGGTATTTCGGATTCGTTACTAGGTGTGTTTGGTCTGGCCAAGCAATTTTGGGGTTGTATTCGGTTATGAGGCACGCTGGTAGCGATGTTTGTGGACCGTGACCTACGTGTGTGATTGATAATACGGTGAGGCCTCTGTGCAAGTTGGAGGAGGCATGTTCAATGACAGCCTAACGCAAGACCACAGGAAAACGACTCCGGCAGGTTGAAGGAGTAGACTCTGAAAAATTAGTGATCAGTCCCTCCACGTGAAATGGTTTCATCAAAGGTCAGAACGATGATGTGCCATCTGCTACAACTTCTCACACATTGTATGCGGCCTCGACGAGGTTGAGACTACTTGAGGTATCGTTGCCCGCACCCCAAAACAAATTAGAATACAGAGAGTGACATCCAGATAGAACTAGTACAGCTTCACAATCGTGGATATGAGGCGATTAGTATTCATATGTGAACAGAAGCTTGGGTTCACGATTCTCAGACAACCGGTGTGTCTAGGTGGATTTCGCGTAATATTTCCATGGGACATGCCACGCTGAGGGGATTGCCAAAGGTCATATGGGGCTGGTACGAGTTTCTATGTAGAAGTCTACAAGCAGATCGGATTAGAGCCTTCCGTCTGATGAGACGACACCCCAGAACTTGTCAGTCTCAACTAGAGTGATGACCAGGGAGAGGCAGTGCCCCCTTCAGCAGACTGAACCATTAGCCACCCTTCTTACTATCAACGAGCAAACCCTCAGGTTTCCCTCGGAGTGAATGCTTGGGTGTTGACGCCAAGGGAGTGACTTAGTTCGTGGTGAAAACAGATCTTCCGCTGTTCCCCTCGGCTAATGTCGCGATTAATAAATGCTACTCACCGCTTTACAGTTATATTCCACAGTATTTATGAATGAGTTGTGCTATCCGGGCGTACCACTACCTACCTCTTAGAGTGGTGTTATTCATATCGTCCTATCATCAGTATCCACCCAAACAGCAAAGCCTTTATGAAGTCCGGTTTCTGAGGCAATAAAATGTCCAGCAAGCAGGCTTGATAAACCTAATGCAACAGCACGATGAGTATCCTTGTTCTTCCGTTTGTCGGCGCTAGAAATGGGCTCCGCATCTTGAAGGGCCCAGACTCATAGAACATAATCTAGCACACCGCCATCCTGAACATCCCCGCCTCAAGGCGGGCTCATTAGATTGAGGCGTTGTGGCAGAGTGGTCTAATGCGCAAGACTAGAAATCTTGTTCCTTCGGGAGCGTCTGTTCGAATCAGGCCAACGTCGAATTACTTTTTGCGCTTCCCGTCTCGAGGCGTTGTTTGTTTTTGTTCCGGTTCATGGTCTTCCCTCTCTGAAAGAACATGCCAGATTCTGCTTTTGGAAAATTTGTGTTGTGGGGCCGGGTTGAGACACCGCAACGGCGCGCTGCTGAGAGGGGCTCGCAATTGGGAGCCGGCCGGAGTGAAAAGTGGGACGCCGTCTTACACCGGCCCCTGCCTCGTGCTTCCCCGGGATACCTCGCATCGCAGACTGCAAAGACACGGCTCTTCCTGCTCTAACCTCGAATTTGAGTGACTCAACTCAGAGACGCCACTGTGCAAGGCATCGCGCCCATCTCAACCCCTGCGCAAGCAACCTTCCTCGTGTCTCCCATCCAACCTGGAGATCTCACACAGCACGCCCTATCCCACAACACAAAATCAGCCTTACACCACCACGAAAACGCCCAGTCACCCGTCACCGTCTATCAAAATTCAATCTGGACGGCATGACTCAATCCCGCCTTGCCAACTCCCACTCCCAGCCGTGCCAACACATACCCTCCTCCGTCTCGATCAACCCTCACCACACATCCCGTCGATCATTTTCTCGTCAAATCAAGCTTAACTCTTGTCCCCAGCTAACCTCGTCTAATCACCGACCCAAACACCAGCTCAGCCGCAATGCTCCCCTCGCCCCGCGATGTCGACAAGGGTCCAATCGCCCATCAAACGCCGCTAACGAGCGCCTCTCATCTCCGTGCCGCTGTCCAATTCGTCCGCGACCCTCAGCCGCACGCGCCGGCGCCGTTAGGGGCGTCCATCACTTCCCCTCACCAAAACCATGCTTGTCTTCACTACACGAATGCAAAATAAGCATTCGGGGCTAAGGTTCGTCCGGGCCAAGATAAGCATAACGAAATGAAGGCTGTCAGTCGCTCAAATCGCCCGGCTTGGTAGAGGGGAGGAACAGCCTGCTTGTAACGTGTTGAGTGAGCTGAAGTCTGTTGCTGGGGTCGACTGCTTGTCATTTCTTGGCGGGGCTTTCTTGGCTTCAGCTTTGGATGTTTCTGCCTTGAAGAAGTGTAACGCTGTGATGTCTGGTGATTTGAAGGTAGGACAGAAACGTCGAGATATGCGGTGCCTACATTCGTTGAATCGGTACCCCATGCCGCACTCGTATACTCACAGAAACTGCTCCCCCGACAGACCACCTCAGTCAAAGAAGGCAACACCGCATCATATTAAACAAACCTCGTGAAAACAAGGTACAATGTGGCAAACGTCCCTGCGTCCCTAGCCCTCAGCCCACCCGTCACCCCCAGTAGCCTGATTCCTCGCCCACCACCGCACCCGCGAACGCGAAAGGAAGCCAGCTCGTCTATCATCGCGCCTCATGGCGTTTCCTAGCGTCGTCCGGGGTCACACAGAAATCTCCCGTTAACCTCCCCCGGCCCATGTAGGCTGATTTCCCAAGCAAGGGGCCCAGGGGTATCTTCACACTCAAGGCTCCCCGTTCAACATCGTTGTAAGTACAATACTCGGATCTCTTTCACCATCAGATATATATACCTTCTCCTCATTCCCCATAACTCCCCTCCCAAGGCCACCTCACCAACACCAACACCCACAATGCTGCTCAACTCCCTCCTCCTATCAACGGGCCTGGCCCTCGCCCTCGCCGACTCCTCCTCCCCCTACCTCGGCTCCCAATCCTCCTCCTCCTCCTCCTCCGCGTCCAACCCCTTCCTCCTCCCAGGCGGCCTCGGCTCCTCCGCCATCTCCCTCGGCGCCGTCGCCTCCACCTGCGACATCGGCTACAAACCCTGCGACGGCAAATGCATCCCCACCCTCGGCACGTGCTGCAACACCGGCAGCGGCGGCTACTGCGAGGCCACGAAAGTCTGCGTCTCCGGCGGCTGCTGCCCCATCGGCAAGACCTGCTCCGGCGCCCCGTCCGGGTGTTCGTCGGGTAAAGTCCTCTGCAACGGCTTCTGTATCCCCTCCGGCACGGTGTGCTGCTCTGATGGCGGGTACTGTGATGCCGGGGAGACGTGTACATCTGACGGGTTCTGTTCGAAAGGTAGTGGGGGAGGTGGTGGTGGGGGGCAGTGTGCGAGCGGGCAGACGGCGTGCGGGACGGGATGCATGCCGGTGGGACAGGTGTGTTGTAGCACCTACT